GATGCACACAACTATTAGAGGGGAAAGGAAGGTTAATAATAGGCTTTTCGTGCAGTATGTATCTTGTTAAGATGCAGAAAAAAAGGATGAAAAGTTCATCTCAGCGTTGACAAGGAGAGCAAGGGGCCTGTTACCTTACCAAAAATGAAAGACAAAGAGCATGTAAAGGGCATTTTGACCCACTTATCCATGGACTATACGTACACAAGCAAAATATTAAGATGGACTGGAAAAACCAATAATGATCTTTCACTTGCAATGACTGTATTCCTCTATTATGCACAAAATCAAGCTCAACACATAAAAATAAATGTGTGTTCTGGACTACATTTCGGAAGAATTAACAAGATTAATTGTCTCTTTGTAGACTTCATTTGAACTATCCCAAACAAAAACTGACCCCAAATCTATTTAGGACAAAAATGAGATATAATGTTTTCTACTGACCTGGACATATATCCTGATTACTGCAGCGAAGCCTGATCTAAGGGTCAAACGAGACTAAATAAAATGCAGCTATAAGGGAACCCCAATTAGATGAGAGCACTGATTCTCAACCCTAATGTTTGGTCCAAAATTCTGCCTAACCAGAAAGGCAAAAGGAGCTGTCCAAGATTCAGAGATCAAGAGGTCCTGGATAGCAGGGGAACTGTCCAGCAAAGAGTTGCAAGCAGCATAACACGAGATGTTGTTTTAGCACTGGCTTTCTTGGCATCAATTGAGATATATAACTGGTTCTGCTATCCATACCATTCCTGGAATGTCATCGGAGCACATGAGGAATCTGCCATCCTCTGGATTAAGACTTATGAATGAGAGCTGCCAGATAGGAATGATACTGCCTCTGTTCCTGAGCATCTTGGTGTCAGGAGTGCGTGCAGGAGCCAGGCCCTGTGACCAGTAGGACTTTGCAGGCCTGGGGCCTTCCTAAGTTTGTTCTGAAGAGGCAAGGCGCAGCCGCACAGGTGAGGCCGATTGGTAATTCACAGCAGCTGGTGGCAAGAGCCGGGAAGGGATATAAGGTCAGCATTTCCCTTCAGCTCTTTGCCACAGAAACACGCTTCCTGCCTTGCTGTGTTTGACTCCTTGCTTCCTGATCCTCGGACCCTTGATTTTGTGACTCCTTGCTTCCTGACCCTCGGACCCTTGGCTTCTTGCCTCCCGGCTCTTTGACCCTCAGACTCTTGGCTTCCTGACTCCTGGTTTCTGGACTTTCGTTCCTGCTCCCACCCCACCATCTTGCCCCTGGTCCTGACGTCCTCAACCAGGACTTTGATCACCTGTAAACCAGACCGTGACACTTGGCATGCCTGTAGCCATGAGTGAATAGGTTCCATTGAATTGATGGTATCCTTGAGATCAGCCTCTTCCTAGCTGATGTGGCATATGTGTGCTTGTAACCTCTGTGAACTCCTCTCGAACCCCATAAGTACTTGGGCTGGCAACAGCTCTTTTTCCTCAGAGCTTTCATTTACTTCTGGACTGATTTTTGCCAGGAAGGTGGTGACACACAAAAGGGAAGGAGGTATTCAACTCTTTAACCCTACACCAGCAAAATCATTCCTTTCCCCCAAAGTTGATATTTACCTCCAAAGGAAAGGGTTGACCAACATGATTTTCCTGCACAACAGGTAGGTTATTCCCAAGCCAAAGGTCTAGCGAACAGGTTTTTTACCCTGACTTGCAAATAACTAAATTGTACATACCAGCAAGAATAACTTTGCTAAATCAATCCCAGTGTTTGCCATGGCTACAGCAGAGTGAGTGTTCACAGAGCAGAGTTGGGAAATATTTAGTGCTATGGCAGTCTGAATGTACCTAAATCAGGTTTCTGAGGTAGTCACTGCACTCTTATTGACTACAGTGTAGGTAACAAGGAGCTGATAATTTATCCTAGACTGATTTTCTCAGGTCAGCTTGTCTTCCAAGTTCTTGTTGCAATTCTATCCAGGTCACAGAAAATGTCTATACCTTACCACAGAGGTGGCACATTTCTAGTACAATTAGTGCACTTTTCATGTTCACGGCACACAAAGATATTGTAGCATTTACCTGTGCAAACAAGTATTTTCTGATTAAAGGGAGAATGCCTGGGAAGGTATCAGGAAATGTGCACTTTGGAGAAAAGGTGCTTAGCTACACTGAGGTCCAGCTCCGAGGGCCTTCTGGCAGTTCCCTCACTGCGAGAAGTGAAGTTACAGGGAACCAGGCAGAGGGCCTTCCCAGTAGTGGCTCCCGCCCCGTGGAGCACCCTCCCATCAGATGTCAAGGAAATAAACAACTATCTGACTTTTAGAAGACATCTGAAGGCAGCCCTGTTTAGGGAAGTTTTTAATGTATGATGTTTTATCGTTTTATCGTATTACTATTATTATTATTATTATTATTATTATTATTATTATTATTATTATTAATTCTGTTGGGAGCATTCCAGAGTGGCTGGGGAAACCCGGCCAGATGGGTGGGGTATAAATAATAAATTACTATTATTACTATGTCAAATCACACATTATAGAGTTCATTTAGATATGATGGACTCAGTTTCAACACATGCTACTTAAAACCAGTTTTTGTCAGTTGATCAGCTATTAGAATGACTGTGTTGGACAGGAAATGGTAGATGAGTTCTAGGGTTCTCCTTCTTTAATTTACTCTGCCCATTGCCCTTTCTGCTTCATAACCCAGAAAGTCCTTCTCATCTGCGTGGTGCCACCTCTCTCTCCCTCCCCGTTCCCCAGCTACCTCTTCCATGTAACTCAACAACCCACACCAACACCTAAAAGTAGTCTAAAATAGAACTGCATTCACTTGTGTTTATTCCTTCCTTGTTTGCCTGACTTTTCCCATTCCTCCTCTATCCTGGTTGCTCTGCTACCCTAATCTATCCCTTCCATTCTTGTTCCTCTATTATCTCCCTGAACAGACAAAATTTAAATTGTAGTTTCCTTGTGATACTGGCTTTGGGGAGCGGCTATGCCATGTTGTACTCTTGCATGTTTACTGCAGGTGCTAAATAAATAAATAAATTATCCATAAAAGGAGGGGTGGAGAAACTTCCCTAAAGTATTTTCACAAGTAGATGTTATTGGCCTCCACTTCAAGATACCAAAAGGCTTTGAACAGCCAAATGAAATATAACATTACAGAGTTATCCAAGAAATGGGCTTCCATGGAAGACCTCAAGCTGTGACTGCTGAAGCCCAGCATAATCCTACATAGAGTTAGCTTGTTGTTAGTCTATGAGTAATCTCACATTTCCTTCTTACCATAGTCAAATTGCAAGAACCCTTAATGAAACAAACAGCACCACTTGACATGGCCACTATACCACTTCCCCTCACTCAACAGGTTTCAAGCATGTATTCCTTCCATTTCCATTGCTCATTAATTATGCTTTCAAGTGCCATCATATCACTTAACATATGTGAACAAAGTAAATTGCCAAACTTGGCTTAGTGCTTCGGTAATGAATGGCTCTTTCCTGCCAGGTTACCGAATGAATCAAATTTTGTCATTCCACATCTAGTATTACTGACTTTAACACATGCACATTTTCACACTATATAGAAGTTGCTGATAACATAATTGTGAATCTGAACTTCAACTTCAGTCCAGATGTCCCTGTTACTGCAATCCTAAAAATAAAAATAGAGACAAGTAGTATCAAAAGTGAGCCTTTGTCTTGAAATCACAGGTGTTGAAGTGTTGAAGTCCCTATTTTTAAGCCTTCCATAAGCTAAAATGACTTTCCGAATAGCACATCTTCTTTATCAATAATGTGCCATGGATATTACAAAAAAATAAATTGATTGTGATCCTAGATGACTCTGCGCCAGGGCTCATCTAGTTTAAAATAAACTTTCTTATGGCTTAAACCAATTTCCCCCCCAAGTAGTAAACTCTACTTCAAGATTGGATTGTTGCCTGTGATCTTGTACAAATCTCATAGGATATTTGAGAAGCTGCTCCTTCCCCTATCCACCCACCGCATCCCAGTAACTTAAGATATGTAGCTGAATGCTTTTTCACAATGCCAACACCCCTGCAGTAACTCAGTTTGCTTAGTCAGGTGGCACCCAAGGGAGGACTGCAAGTTGACAGCCAGACCAGTTCCACAGCTAAAGTTGACTGCAGACAAATCATATCATTTTCCAAACATACTGATCCCAGCTGATCATCTAACAAATGCTTTAACTTTATCCTCTAAAATAAATTGTAGCATCAGCTGTCTTGTCAGCTGTGCATTAAAATGCTTGGACTTTTCTTTCTGTCTAGTAGCACTAGTAAACATTGTAAATTTCCTGTTCAATTAATGCGTGCTTGAGATTTGTTAAGTATGTAAAAGCATGGAGAGGATTTTCTGTTGTTCCAGAAGATATGACACACCAACTTTTCATGTTACTTAAGGGCACATTTTAAAGTGGTTAATTAGAAGTTATTATGTTCATACTGAAAGTAGCATGGGCTGTAATTTGAATATTCCTTTGATCATAAGTATATTTATTTAGAAACAAGCCCCATTAAATCCCTAGTAAGTGTGTTCAATATTGTATTAATTAATTTTCCAACAAGACCAATACCTTTTTACTATAATCCTGAAATCTGGAGCACTTTTTAAAAAATGCATTTTTATCATTATAATTACAAGTAACGTGTAGGCCAAAGGTATATATACAACACAGTATTTACATTTAACAGACAAAAAATTAAAGCCACTGTTCATAATTCATATGGTGTGAAACATCAGGAAATGTCTCAGCTGCTCCTGGTTTACAAATTCTATAGTCAACCTTTCTTATAATATGACATTGATCTGGAATTTTCTGAAGGAGGAACTATCATTCATAAAATGCATAGGTGGCAATTAGGTGTTTCAGTGCAAATGCAGTAACTGTGCTCATTTCTATGAGATCAACTGAAACATGATGCTTTAAGGATACAGCTCCATATGTCTACATACACTCAACATGAAGGAGGAAATTTGAATCTTTGGTACTTACGGTCATCAGGTGAAGAGCGATAGCTCAAGAGATCTAGTAAACCTGCCCCTCTTAATCTTTTGTCACCTTTATGTTCCTTGACACAATCACAGAATCCAAGAAAAGCCGTTTTTTGCAAATCTGCACTAGTGCCATGTAAACAGACTTCTTTGAGTAGATTGGTATATATGTATCCCACAGGCCAAAGCCAGCATGAGAAGTTTCCCTTGTAGATCTTTTTCTGTAGAAGGAAATGTGAAATTTCTATCATGTACCAACTCAGTGACACCAAGATTACATTTCTAAAGGAAGAAAGGAACTACATATATCCAGGAACATGGCTGAACAGTGGTAGATAGACATTTAAACAACCAAATACATTTTATGCATCAGGCAGATAAATGCACTGCACTTTTTACAGTGCACCTCTCAGCTGAGTTCTATACATGCTTACTCAGATAACCCTATCGTGTTCAATGGGGCTTATTCCCAAGTAAGTATTACAAGTGGCTTCCTCTGTTGAACATATCAGACATTGCTGGTGTTTTGGGCTACAGATTTCAGGTTTATTCGACTAGAACAGCTGGTTGCTTAGTCAGTTGCCCAACCGGGAATACTGGCGCCAACATAAACTTCACAGACAAACAGTAAAGAAAATAAATGCTTTGCTTCTATTCCATTTAGGGTTTTCAACACATTCCCTCCCTGCATCTAAATTAGCTTGGGTGTTACCTGCTTCTGAAGAGGCAGAGAGCTTGAAATAAAATCTCTCACTAGGTCCATTAAAACTCTCAGGCAGGACATGTTTAATTTGGCAGTCTCTCCAAGGACCATCAGGCCCAACACTGATTCCAACCTAGATGTTTCGGGATAAGAAAGAAAAACATTGGTCCAAATTAGAAGAATAAATTGATATTTTTCCCCAACAGGAAAACTATATTGGCATTAGGATCAATTGTTTTCAGTGTTTACTCCCAACTACTTTTTATTCATAAATGCTAACTTCTTTTGGAGAGGTTCCAGTAACATGAACATATAGAGAATATGTTTTCATGTGGCATAGCTTCTGCTAAATCGGGTCTCGGGTACCTGAATTAAATGTAAAGACTTAGATTGCAAGACCAAGAGTTCTTTTCCATAAAGGCCACTCCACTACATCAGAGCTTGCCAAGAGCCAGTGTGGTGTAATGCTTTGAGTGTTGGACTAGGAAAACTCAGCTAAGAAGCTCACTGGGAAAACTTGGGCCAGTCACTATCTCTTAGCCTAGGTTAAATGTAAAGGACCCCTGGATGGTTAAGTCAACTATGGGGTTGCAGCGCTCATCTCACTTTCAGGCCGGGGGAGCCAGTGTTTGTCCACAGACAGCTTTCCAAGTCATGTGGCCAGCATGATTTTTGGTGCAACGGGACACTGTGACGGAAGCCAGAGAACATGGAAACACCGTTTACTTTCCCTCCGCAGCGGTACCTATTTATCTACTTGCACTGGCGTGCTTTCGAACTGCTAGGTTGGCAGGACACGGGTGGCGCTGTGGTCTAAACCACTGAGCCTCTTGAGCTAGCCGATCAGAAGGTCAGCGGTTCGAATCCCTGCAAGAGAGTCAGCTCCCATTGCTCTGCCCCAGCTCCAGCCTATACTACCTCACAAGGGGAAACAAGTATGTCACCTTCAGCAGGTGGAAAATGAATGAATGAATGAATGAAGAGCAATATTACAAAACCTATTAGGAAGAGTAGGGCAAAACATTTTTTTAAAAAAACTGTAGGAGGTGGATGCTTGAGTAATGGAGTAAGTGAGTTCATAGCCTCCAAAAAGAAAAAAAGTGGGACTGGGACAAGTAATTCAAAATGGTGTATGGATAACCCTTGCTCCTATATCCCCGCTGGTGAAACTTAGGCACACCAAAGGTTATGAAATCTGGCATTTGGAGTTGTTGGTGCTTGTTGGGGGCAAGAAGTGATATTTATCAGCTACTCGAGTTAGCAGTTTGAGCACTGGTAAAAAGTAATTCACCCACAATCAGACAGCAATGCAAGGTGAGGTTGTTTGGGTGGAGTAGTGATAGAGTAGTGCTCCAATGAGAAAAAGGCAGCATCTAGAAAAAGATCTCAATTTCAGTGTATCATTTAATTTCATGTGGCATTTTAGTTGGTCCTTTCCCTCCAAAGATACGATTATATAGAAGTGCTTCTGTGCTCTAAAATGTTGGTAACAACATCTCACCAAGCCACTTAGATGGGGTAAGTTTCCACTGAAATGAATATATATATATAGCATATGCACAAATTCTTCCAGATGACCTACCTCACTGGTTCTATTTAACTATGATATTGTTCCTAAAGACTTGACTGTTGGGGCACTGCTGTATCTGAACCATTTGTGTTTTGTTCAAAAAGACAGAAAATTAACACTGTGAGGGATAAACCAGTTATGTCACAACAGAAGGATTTTGGTTCATTCATATCATGGTACAAGTGTAAATGCCTGCCATATTGGAATATTCTATCTTAAACTTTATTGGATATCATCATGTTTTGCAAAACTGTACTGACAAAAGATATACCCCATCACAAGCACTTGTAGGCTTTTGCTGCAAGCAGGTAGTTTAGTAGGGCTAAACTGCCTTATTATCAAGCCAGAGTCTGGCTGGTTCTTCTTTGAAATAAAATGGTGGACTGCATTAATCTCTGGTCTGATCCAACTCTCAATAATCTTGTTTATTTTTCACTTCTGTCTATTTGCTCCATTTTACTTACTGTGTGCCTAATGCTATTTTTTAATTAATGTGATGTGGCAGTCATATAGACACTAGAGCCAATGGAAAACATTAGGTTAAATATCTATGAACCCTAATACTATGAATGTGATGACAGAGGAGTTATCTAGCTAATTAGATGGGAAGTAAAGTGAGGATGTGCCATAATTAAATGAATAATTGTATAATCAAAAGTTAGTGCTCATTGAGAAGAACACAGGAGAAGGTGACCAGTAGGACATTGGGGGATCAATGCTATTACATTTAATTCCGCCTGTCCATTAGGGAGAAACTACACACCAAGCTAATAAATTCACAAAACATCAGCAAAGATTCACTTAATAGGAAGACTATTCACATAATACATATTTTAGTCATTTGGTAATAAGGTCAGAGTTTAGGGGGGAGAGCTATTATAAGGAATGAGGGAAAAGGAAAATCAGCAAATGTAATTATGATTTTAGAATGCAATATAAGAAAAGCAGATTGCATAATCCCAAGCTATGTTCTAGATGCTATAGTTTGGTTTTATATCTGTTTCTGTATTGATAACATTATAAAGTATGGTTTATAACCTGATGCCTTGGTGCCAGAATCCTTTGGAGCTAACCAGGGGCTCTTGGCTGACCTGTGTGGTGAGCCATCAGAAGTGTGAGGTGGAACACCTTTCAAGTTGGTGAAGAGTTCTGGTGCTATGGAGTGGCCCAGAAGATTCAGGCTGCCCACTAGCCTCTCCTAGACAAGGGCTGAGACTTTGCCTGAACAACAACAGTCTTCCAGGTTCACCTTTGTTTCAGTGTGTTCCCTTCTGAGTGCTGACACTCAGCAACAGAGTACTCTTCAGCCAACTGTGCTACAGAGGGCAGGCTCAACTGGCTTTTATAGGCTGCCAGCTGACCAGACACGGCCTGCAGACAATGCCCAGACAGCCTGCAGGGCACTGCTCAACCAGCGGGGCCTCTGATTGGCCCAGTTGAAGCTGGCATTGGGTGGGGAATCCCCACACCTTGATTCTGCCAGGCCCTAGCTGCTGGGGATGGTAGACAGGGGTGTGGTCCGCAACCACCACCCACCCGAGAAGGAGTGAGCAGCCATTCGTTTCATGTATAAGCACCCCACCCACCAGTTCAATCCCCGGTAAGGTAAAGGTAAGGGGACCCCTGACCATTAGGTCCAGTCGTGGACGACTCTGGGGTTGCAGCGCTCATTTCGCCTTATTGGCCAAGGGAGCCGGTGTACAGCTTCTGGGTCATGTGGCCAGCGTGACTAAGCCGCTTCTGGCGAACCAGAGCAGCACATGGAAACGCTGTTTACCTTCCCGCCAGAGTGGTACCTATTTATCTACTTGCACTTGGACATGCTTTTGAACTGATAGAGTAGGACCGAGCAACAGGAGCTCACCCCATCGTGGGGATTCGAAGCACCAACCTTCTGATCGGCAAGTCCTAGGCTCTGTGGTTTAACCCACAGCGCCACCCGCGCCCCTCAGTCCCAGGTACTGTCAGTTAAAAGATCACAGGCAGCAGTGCTTGGAAGCTTTGGAAAGCTGCCAAGAGTCGAGTACAGTATTAGAGGCTGGAGTTGCCAATGGTCTTATTAAGGACAGGGGCCAAAGAAGTTGCCCTGGTTCCATGTCTCTGTACTCATGGCAGCTGCTTGGTTTTGCTTATACAGTGGGACCTCGGGTTAAGTACTTAATTCGTTCCGGAGGTCTGTTCTTAACCTGAAACTGTTCTTAACCTGAAGCACCACTTTAGCTAATGGGGCCTCCTGCTGCCGCAGCGCCACCAGAGCATGATTTCTGTTCTTATCCTGAAGCAAAGTTCTTAACCTGAAGCACTATTTCTGGGTTAGCGGAGTCTGTAACCTGAAGCGTATGTAACCTGAAGTGTATGTAACCCGAGGTACCACTGCATAAGTCTTAGACTATATAATTTGCTCTTAAGGCAGTTCCTGGCAAATTTTATGTGACCAGTGGGCTGCAGGATATGAAAATTATAATTTGTCAAAGTTATGTAACAACATTTAAATAACTAAGTACAACATTTACTAAAATTAATTGGCTAGATCAATTTTTCATGCCTTTGATTTTTTTGGAAACTTTTGGCCTTTGCAAACTTTAAAAGTTGCAGATTTTTAAAATAAAAAAAGTCAAACGAGTACTTATAAAAACTGCAGGTGGCAAGAACATTCTAAATGAGGCCTGGAAACACAGCGTAAAACGAAACCAGCTCAGCAATACAGACAACTTCCCTCCCATTGACTGCAATGTGAGGTAGAAAAATAAAATAAAGATTAGATCCTTCCAAGCTGGGGACCATTTGGGCGTTTCACAGACATAACTACTGTGGAAAGCCGGGCACCAATAGTTCTCTACTGCAGTGATTCACCCACAATTTTTCTCACTGACCACTTGAAAATCCCTGAGGGTCTTGGCTCACCACTTAATGTTTTTTTGCTCGCTGCAGCAATTGTGATGCACCGTGCTAGATGCATTATGCTTTTTAATTATATCTTTTACTGCTTCTTTTATTTCTTATATATCATAGTTTACTGTATTACAATATGAATTTCATAAAATTCAAACTGTCATGTACAATGTAAGAAATAAAAGAAGCAATATAAATACAATTAAAAATCAATATAAATATTTAATGCACTGGATGCGCCGTCTCCTGTCTTCAACCACAAATCCACAGACACACAACAGACCACACGAATGAAGCTTATACACTGTTTGGGAACCCCTGGACAAAAACAACAACTAAGATTTATTTAATCAGGTGACAGGCCGTATATGAGAATTTTCTTCAGATATCCATATTTTGAACATTAAACTCAAATCTTAATGGATAATGTAAGCTACGGCCAATCTGAATCACTTAAGTCTTGTAACCAACAATGGTCTGTGGTATTTATAAAACAGAACTCTTTCTAACATACATTTTTTTCGTTTCAAATTAAAACAAACCTGAGATACAGCAATATAGTTGTACAGAAATGTCGTCAAAACGTCAACAGAGCATAGCAGTAATGCATGACTTTAATAAAATTATACAAAATACTGTGCATTAGCTAAGTTAATGACTCTTAAGCAAAC